AAAAGGCAGTAAAATTAACAAAATCAAAAATGAAAAGGGGGACATAACAACAGACACTGAGGAAATTCAGAGAATCATTAGGTCATACTACAAAAATCTGGACTCCACAAAATTGAAAAATGTAAAAGAAATGAACAATTTTTTTAGATAGATACCATATACCAAAATTAAATCAAGACCAGGTAAACAATTTAAATAGCCCTATAAACTGCAAAGAAATAGAAGATGTCATCAAAAACCTCCCAACCAAAAAGACCCCAAGGCCAGATGGTTTTAGTACAAAAGTCTACCAAAACTTCAAAGAAGAGTTAATACCTATACTTCTCAAAGTGTTCCACATAATAGAAACAGAAGGAACATTGCCAAACTCTTTTTATGAGGCTACAGTTACCCTGATACCAAAACTACACAAAGACTCAACCAAGAAAGAGAATTACAGATTCATAAACTCATAAACTCATAAACTCACTCATAAACACGGATGCAAAAATACTGCAATAAAACACTGGCAAACAGAATCCAAGAACACATCAAAAAAATCATGCACCATGATTAAGTCAGTTTCATCCCAGAGATACAGGGCTGGTTCAACATACAAAAATCTATCAATGTAATCATCATATAAAAAAACTGAAAAAACCATACGATCATTTCATTAGATGCTGAAAAAGCATTTGATAAAATTCAACACCCCTTCATGATAAAGGTCTTGGAGAGATCAGGGATACAAGGAACATATCTAAATATAATAAAAGCAATATACAGCAAGCCAACAGCCAACATCAAATTAAATGGAGAAAAATTCAAAGTGATTCCACTAAAATCAGGAATAAGACAAGGCTGTCCGCTCTCTCCATATGTCTTCAACCTAGTTCTTAAAGTTTTAGCAATAGCAATAAGACAACAAAAGGAGATCAAGGGGATTCAAATTGGAAAGGAAGAAGTCAAACTTTCATTATTTGCAGATAATATATAAGTGACACCAAAACTCTACCAGAGAACTCCTATAGCTGATAGATACCTTCAGGGATGTGGCAGGATATGAGATCAACTCAAAAAAATCAGTAGCCCTCCTATACACAAATGATAAAAAATCTGAGAGGGAAATCAGAGAAACATCACCTTTCACAATAGCCACAAATAACATAAAATATACTGGGGTAACACTAACTAAAGAAGTGAAAAACCTATTCAACAAGAACTTTAAGTCTTTGAAGAAAGAAACTGAAGAAGATACCAGAAAATGGGAAGATCTCCCTCTCGGATTGGTAGAATCAACATAGTAAAAATGGCAATCCTACCAAAAGCAAACTATAGATTCAATGCAATCCCCATCAAATTCCCAACACAATTCTTTACAGACCTTGAGAGAACAATAACCAACTTCATATGGAAAAACAACCCAGGACAGACAAAACAATCCTGTACAATAAAGGAGTTTGGGGAGGCATTACCATCCCTGACATCAGCCTCTGTTACAGAGCTACAGTAACGAAAACAGCTTGGTATTGGCATAAAAACAGAGACGTTGACCAATGGAATCAAATAGAAGACCTGGATATTAATCCACACACCTATGAACACCTGATTTTTGACAAAGGAGCTAAAATTATACAATGGAAAAAAGAAATATCTTCAGCAAATGGTGCTGGCATAACTGGATGTCAACATGTAGAAGAATGAAAATAGATCCATATCTATTGCCATACACAAAACTCAAGTCCAAATGGATTAAAGACCTCAATATAAATCCAACCACACTGAACCTGAAAGAAGAGAAAACGGTAAGTAGTCTTCAATGCATGGGCACAGGAGACCACTTCCTAAATATAACACCAGTAACACAGACACTGAGAGCCACAGTAAATAAATGGGGACCTCCTAAAACTGAGAAACTTCTGCAAAGCAAAGGACACAGTGAATAAGCCAAAAAGGCAGCCTACTGAATGGGAAAAGATCTTTACCAACCCCACATCAGACAAAGGACTGATCTCCAAATTATATAATAAACTCAAGAAATTAGACATTAAAATTCTAAATAACTCAATTTAAAAAAAAATGGTGTACTGAACTAAACAGAGAATTCAAAACAGAAAAATCTCAAATGGCCAAAAGATACTTAAAGAAATGTTCAACATCCTTAGTCACCAGGGAAATGCAAATTAAAACAACTCTGAGATACCATCTTACACCTGTCAGAATGGCTATGATCAAAAACACCAATGATAGCTTATGCTGGAGAGGATGTGGAATAAGAGGAACACTCATCCATTGCCGGAGGGAATGCAGACTTGTGCAACCACTTGGGAAATTAGTATGGCGGTTTCTCAAAAAAATTGGGAATCAACCTACCTCAGGATCCAGCAATACCATTCTTGGGCATATACCCAAAAGATGCTCAAACATACTGAAAAGCATTTGTTCAACTATGTTCATAGCAGCATTTGTAATAGTCAGAACCTGGAAACAACCTAGATGCCCCTCAACTGAAGAATAAATAAAGAAAATGTGGCACATTTAAACATTAGAGTACTACTCAGCAGTTAAAAAAAAAATAACATCGTGAATTTTGCATGCAAATGGGTAGAATTAGAAAATGCTATCGTGAGTGAAGTAACCCAAACCCAAAAAGATGAATATGGTATGTACTTACTCATAAGTGGATACTAGCTATAAACAAAGGATATTAAACCTATAATTTATGATCATTCCCTCCCTTTCTTTCTTCTCTTCTTTTTTTTTTTTTGGATAAGGATTAGAATTTTGAAACTTTGAATTTGAAAAGCCATTCAGTGTTCAAAGCCCAGTGAACTGTTATGGAAGCTTGGAAGATAGAAATGCTGAGAAAAGTATAAGGGTCTACAGTCATAACACCCTGAACACACCCAGTTTTGTCTCCTTTCAGATCTCACCCTCACTTTCCCAGCCATCTGTCTACTTTACACGTACACACAATTAACCTAGAGTTCCATATGAGGAAAAACCATGAAGCACCTGGCTTTGCTCATTGTTTGTTTTTTTTTTCCAAGACAGAGTTTCTCAGTATTTCCATGGCTGTTCTGGAATTCGAGTTATTGACCAGGTTGGCCTTGAAGTCAGAGACCCACTATCTCTGCCTCCTGAGTGCTGGGATTAAAGGTCTATGCCACCACCACCCAGGGAAGCATCTGTCTTTTGAATGTAAATTATTCCGTGTTGAGTCCCCATTGCATCCAGTTTCCTGAGGAAGTTCAGTTCATGTGACAGATCTACTTTTAGTTTTTGAGAAACTTCCACATTGATTCTTATAGTAACTGACTTGACTTATGGAGTGATATTTTGTCTATGATCTGACATATAAGGTTTGCCTGAAGATCAGAGTGCAGAGCTAAACCACTAGATAGCCATAGAGGCCAGGCAGTGGTGGCACACACCTTTAATCCCAGCACTCAAGAGACAGAGGCAGACGTCTGTGAGTTCAAGGCCATCCTGGGCTACATGAGACTCAATCTGTCTGAAAGAGAAGCAGAGCTCACACAAAGGTGATCCCAGCATTTGAGATTATATGCCTTTAATCCCAGCACTAGGGAGGTGGAGACAGGAGTGATATGGCTGGGCGAAGAGAGGAATACAAAGCGGGAAGAGACAGAAGCTCAAATGCAGTCTGAGGATACAGTCTGAGGTTTTGTAGAGACAGCATTCAGTATGAGAATTTGTAGAGACAGAAGTGCCCCTTCGGTCTGAGTGTTAGTGGAGATAGAACACTTTAGTAGCTAGTCACTCTGCTTCTCTGATTCTTCAGTTTCCACTCCCTAATTTATTTTTGTGACCAATTAGAATTTGTCCTACAGATTTACATGACCACGAGTGCTTAGGGGTCCCTTATCTTTGAATCCCCACTGGCATCTGTTATTTGCATTTTTGATACAATAATTTAAAGCTTTCTATATTACAAATCCCTTAGCCAATTATTATAGTTTTACATTAAATTTATCTTTTGGTCTTCATATTAAAGATATGAGTGGGGTTTTGTCATTTTTTGTTTTGTTTGGGGGCTTGTTTTATCTTTTTAATAAATTAACTTTATTATTCTTTGAGAATTTTATACACTGAATTTCCATCATGTTCACCCCACTCCTTCTAACTCCTTCCAAATCCACTTCCCCACCTCTCCACCCCTTCCCAACATCAAGTCGTCCTTTGTATTTAATAGCCCACTGAGTTAAACTTATACTGCCCATATGCTAATGAATGTGAGACTGGAACATGGTTGCCTACCAGAGCCCACAAGGCTAACTTATATGCTGCTATTATATGCTAGTTGTGAGTTTACTTTTTTCTTCCTTCCCCCATCCCCCCACTGTTTTTTGCTATGTAGCCCAGGCTGGGTCAAGATCTCAAGATCTGTGACCTCACTAGACCTAGATAGTTAGCCAGGTTTCTAGTATCAAGCGGGAGAAACTGTCTCCAAAAAAGGCAGTGGAAAGAGAGGAAATGTCAAAAATATTTATAACCCTTAACCTTAAATCCCATAGTGCATATGAAATTTTCCATAAATCTAGAAAGAATAATGCTAGTAGCCCATTGCACTATCTTGCTTTGTCTTTGCAATGGTGCAGATAGGACAAAAAGGAAAGCCTCCTGAGCAGCATTTGGAAAAGTGGTGTTTCAAATTTTCTGGCTACATGATACGGAGGAGCGGGATGGCTAGCTGGGACGCAAGGCTCTGAACAACAACTCTCATGCTTCCTGAACCTACAGTGTAATTTACAAACTAGGAAAGGCCAGGCCAGCCCTGCTAGACCCTTAAGAACAGAACATTATCTCCCTTCCCCTTGGAAAGGGGGTAGGGGTCCACAGAACTCTCCCCTGCCTCTAGTACCTCCAGGACCCCTCTGCATCACCTCTTCTCTTTACTCTAGGTTGCAACATACTGAAGCAAAGGAAAATGGTTGAAAGGACCCAGCTAAATCCTTCCGGTTCAGACTGACGCACTTCCGCTTTTCTTGCCTGTGAACCAGAGCGCCCCCTGCTGGTTATTCGCCACCTGACGCTGATCCAAACAGATCCTCCCTCCATGTTCACCTGGAAATTTTCGTAGGAAATGAAGCCAAGCAGCCTCACACTGTTCACAACAACCATTCTCCTTTGCCTCAGCATGGCACATCCTAGAATAAAGAGAAAAAGAGGTGATGCGGAGGGGTCCTGGCACTGAGGGAGGAAAGCGTTTCCCCATGGGAGAATTCTGTGGAACCTGCTAGCTGGTCCTTGCAATGGTCCCTCCAGTGCTTCCTATTCACTCAAGTTCATTTTTCTGCAGTAACACCAAAACCTGGGTACTGCCCAGAGTTTTTTCTTAACTGCCCGTTTGAACGGTTACCCGTATGCAAGCGTGATAAAGGGTGCAAGGGCATCAAAAAGTGCTGTTTCTACTACTGTCAGATGCGCTGTGTGGAGCCTTGGACAAACATGATTTGAAGTGAGTGGCCCCAGATCTGCTGTACTCAGTGCTGCCCCAGAAACCTACCCATGGATCCTTCTTATCTGTCTTAGGGCTGACTGCTCAGCACCCGTGGAAATCACTGTGACCAGAACTTTGAAGTTGGCAGTTTCCTAGAAAACCTAACATTCAAGCAGGAAGTAGTGGCCACACCTGTAATCCTAGCATTTGAGAGGTTGAGACGGAGGGATTAGGAGTCCAGTGTCATCCCTGGCTACGTAGGGAGTTTGAGGTCATCCTGGGTTACATAACACCCTGCTTGAAATGGGTACCTTCCCCGTATGATGGGACCATTTGGACAGCATTATCTCTAAGCCACCCAACTATTATTGAATTTTTTTTGTCATGATTATTTTCAACTGCCCCTTTTCCAAGTCTGTTGTAGTTCACATTTAAATTGAAAAGTAAAGGAGTATAAGTTCATAATTTCATATTTGACTTGCTTAGGTCCTTCAGAGCTCAGTCCTCAATTTTTTTGTCAGACAGCATATCCCAGTTCTCTTGGGGGAAGATAAACTAGCAAGATTCAGGTCATGGGGCAGTGGGATCCCAAAGCATGTCCCCAGAACAGTTCACAACTGCTTCTGTTTCTGATTTCTCTTCCTAGGTGGAAACCCTTTCTTAGTCAAGCCTGAGAAGATACAGTGCCACTGGCTTCAACTTAGATGGCTGATCTTGAGTTCCTCGGTCTCATAGGCCCCTTTTATTAGTGAGTTAAATGCTAATTAACATTAGAGCAAAATAAAGAAATAAATCCCTATGTAATGACTATTTCCTGGCATCATAGCCAACTGCTTGAAGCTATATACTTTAAACATAAACGAAGTTTATTTCTCTTTCAGTTCTGGAGGCTCGGGAACATACTACCAGTCTGTTTTTTACTCTGGTTAGGGCCTCGAGGTGAGTGGCACCACACAGCGCTGGCAACACATGGGAAAATCAAGAGCAGTGCATACAGAAAGAAATAAGGGGAGGTACCAGCCCCTCCCAAAGGAAAAATTCCAGTTCTTCCAGACATGCACTGCTAGTTTCTGAATGTCTTACGTGACCTCATCAACTGCCACCAGGTCACTCTTCTTAAAGGTTCCATACCACACAACATGGCCACACTGAGCACAAGCTTGTGGTACATGAACTTTTCGGAGAAACAGTCAAAACAAATCCACTGTGTACTTTTAACTGTGTGAAACTCTGTAAGATTTTTCTCTTCACCGCCTCCTCTCCTCTCTACCTCCTTCCTCCTCCTCTGTCCTCTTTTCCCTCCCTCTGACCTCCTTTTCTCTCTTCCCCTCCTCCCCCTTCTTTCTCTTCCAGAGATCAGATTCCAGAGACTTTAGGGTTGAATTTTTAGCATTTGTACCTGATGGAGGACAAGCACACCATCCTAAGATGGAAGAGTACATCGTGTATGCTATAGCTTCCTGGACACGGTTGCTGAGTCCTTCCCACATCTTGATCTAGGAACTTTGGAAGTTTGAGTTAGAAATAAGCCAGGGACGGTCTTTCATCCAGAGTGACTGAAGACTAGGGAGATGATCCAGAGGTGACAGGTGTGCTGCACAAACATGAGCTCCACAGTTTGGGTCCCAGGCCCATGTGTGGCACATGCCTGTAACACCCCTGCTGGGAGGTGGAGGGAAACAGGAGGCTCTCAGAGGCTATTCAGTCAACTATAGCTAGCCAGTTAGCGTGAGCCAGTTCTATCTTGTCTGAAGGTCAGAGAGTTTGGGTTTATTTTGCTCTCTCAAAGTTGTTGACGACTACCATGGCTACACACCCTCACCTAGGGTGTGGTTACTTGGTGTTTTGGACATTAAGATGGCCCAAATAGAGGTAGATTCCCTCTACCCTGACCAAAGATCAGAGAATTCAAGCATACTTCTGCTCCTTCTTTTGAAATAGGAAGTTTGACCTAGGGAGTGGCTGCCTTCAGGATACTTGGTCTAGGGTGTGTTCATGGCCTAAACAACAGAATGCTTTTCTCGGGATATAGTTGCTTGATGTTTCAAGTATTGGAGCAAGTAACTGTTTGGGTTGTCCTTTGTATCATATTAAAGCAGTCTTTTGCCTTCTTCCCCCCTTTTGTATTGGGGTATAAAAGTACATGAAAAAATAAACGCGGGCAAACTCAGAACGAAGAATTCAGCATTCAGTATTCACTGAGTTGTCCTCCTGTTACTATCCTGTGTCTCAGTGTTTCATTCTTATCTCTGTTCCTCCCTCTTAACGTTCCTAATTCTCATGCTCCTAACCCATAACGTAAGAACCCACTGTGGCTAGGATCGCAGCAGGTCACCCCCAAAAGGTGGTTCCCGACAAGTTAGTGAACTCTAGGTTCAGTGAGTGAACCTAGAAAAAGTCCGATGGAGGATGACGGAGGAAAATGTGCAGTGTTGACCCCTGACCTCCACATGCACACACAGGTATGCACTACACTCAGAGAGAAGGGGGAGAACGAGGGAGTGTTGGTAGTTGGTTTTTTGTTTTTTGTTTTGTTTTGTTTTGGTTTTGGTTTTTTGTTTTTTACTCTTTACTCTTTGGTTGGGGGGGGGGGGGGGGAGGCTGCTACCCAGATCCCAAATAAACATAAGGAGACTTATTATTACATATGAATGCCTGGCCTTAGCTTGACTTATTTCTAGCCAGCTTTTCTTAAATTATCTTGTTTACTTTTTGCCTCTGGCCTTTTACCTTTCTCTATTTCTGTATGTCTTTACTTCTTACTCTGTGGCTGGCTGTGTAGCTGGCTGGCCCCTGGTGTCCTCTCTCCTTCTCTTTATCCCCTTCTCTTTGTTCTTTCTGCCTGGCAGATCTACCTATCCCTCTCTCCTGCCTAGCTATTAGGCATCCAGCTCTTTATTAGACCAATCAGGTGTTTTAGACAGGCAAAGTAACACAGCTTCACAGAGTTAAGCAAATGCAACATAAAAGAATGCAACATATCTTTGCATCATTAAAACAAATGTTCCATATCTTAAACTAATATTCTATAAGAGGGGTAGAGAACTAAGGTCTTTATGATGTTGAAATTTAAGTTATTATAAATCAGTGATTGGAGAAAGAGATCTTGTATGGCTCATCTTAATCTCCCTAATAATAAAATATTTTCTGATTGAGTTTCTTCACTTCATGCTTCTGTGCTTCCAGCTTCCTTAAGAACCACAGTGAATGCTGGACAGTGGTAGGGCACGCCTTTAATCCCAGCACTCAGGAGGCAGAGAGAGGTGGATCTCTGAGTTTGAGGTCAGCCTGGTCTACAAAAGTTCCAGGACACTAAGGGCTACGCAGAGAAACCCTGTCTTGAAAAACACAAAACAAAACAAACAAACAAAAACAGTGGTAGTAGAGATTTGAAAACAGAGCCTACTAAATTTTTGTAACAAATACAAAAATAGTTTGAGGGAATCTATTTATCAATGTCGTGTTTTCAGTTGCCAAGTGTCATTTTTATAATAGTTGCATAGTCACAGTAAGTGAGCACAGCAAAACCGCTGAAGGAGACCACACTATGTGTATAAAAAGGGTTTACTGGAGAACACACTGCTGACCCGTCTCCTGGGGTCAGAGAACAGCAGCCCAGCCGGGAGAGCAAGCGGGCTTTCTAGGGTTCCTGAAGACTTAAAGGCGGATCCCTTTCTCTCAGGAGATTTTTTTTTTCCTGTCTTGGGTAGAACAGAGTCCTCAGGCCAAGCCTTCTGGGAGGGGTCTGATGTAATCAGGCCAATTTATGTGTAGATGTCCTTTTGCCTGTGGTGGGTGGCCATCTAGGGGGGACCGAGAAAATTGCAGTTATCTGACAAACAAGGTCCCTGGGTCGCAGGGATTTTGAGAACTGCTCTAAGTTAGTTTCTATTTACTCAAGGCCTCTGCCCCAGCTAAGCTCCCTTAGCTATTTTAGGGCATTGGCAGCTACACCACCACCTTCAGACGCAAGGTGTAAAATCTTACATACAGAATTAGTAGTGTCATTTACATAAAATGGGTGCAATGTATTTTTCAGCGTTCTCAGTGAAACTGAATTATGTCTTCTTTTGATGGTAACATTGACTAGCAGCAAGATAAAATAAAAAAGGTGGGAGCTAGAGAAATAGCCTAGTGTTTAAGAGCACGGGCTGTTCTTCCTGGGGACCCAGGTTCTATTCTGTGCACCTACATGGTGGCTCACAATGATCTGTAACTCGAGTTCCATGGAATCCAGTGCCCTCGGCTGAACCCCCTCATGCATGCACACCGTGCAAAACAAGCTTGTAGGCAAAGCACTTATACACACAAAAAATTTTTTGAAGATAAAAGTAATTCCAACAGCAGTGAGATCTTTGCCATGTGTCAACTTCAGCTGTTCACTGGGGGAAGAATGTATCCAAAGAACAGTTCTTTCTCTTCTTTGACAGAACATGGGCCCCTTAAGCTTAATAGCAATAGATGTATGTTCTTAATTGGACTGCCATGTGAAGTACAGCAGGGAAAAACTACTTTTGTTGTTGAATTTTAACTTCTGTAGTTACCAACACAATGACACCGTGAGTCAATAAATAATTACTGTTAATTGGGAACAGTAGTTACATCATCTCACGTGCAAGGCTGTATGCCTTCTTCAGCAAACTGGGCAGCCTTCCTTAATTCCAGGAACAAAACCTTTCCCAACAGTACACTTGGTAGACAGCAAACACACACCTAAGCCAGTGACCCCACCCCTAGGAGCCGGCAATAGACAGGATTGCCTTCCCTGTGATGAATATGATGCAGAATTCAGCCTTATCCCAGATATATAAACAATTCCTTTGTGCACCTGAGTTGAAGTAATTATACTAAGTAACATCATAGCCTTGGGTTTTCTTATGGAAAACTAGAGGGAGGGTTTAGTCCTATCATTTTGAAACTAGTCCTTCCCTCGGCTAAAGGAAAAGCCGACCTAGGTATCTGATGTAGGCTCAGCTCATTGTAATCTATTTTCATAGTAGGGCCTGGAAACCCTTCAGTCACGATTCTTCAGTGTCTCCCAGCCCTCTTCAACACCTTTCTCTATTCCTATCTTCCACACAGTCATTTATTTTAGACTCCCAGAACACTTGAAAGACTTTCAGAAGGTTCCAAGCAAGCAGGGTTAAACTCAGCAGGGTGCGGGGTGTAAGATAAGTTCGCATTGGGGTGCCAACAATGTGGGACAGAGGAGCTGGCCCAAAGCCTCTTCTGGAGCTTGATGGCCCTTCCTTCCCTCCCCCACACCTTGTCCCTGCTTTCACACACACACACACGTGCGCGCGCGCGCGCGCACACACACACACACACACACACACACACAGACACACAAAAGCCCTGTGCAAGTTTGTGCATGAGAGAGTCCAGAGCCTGAATGGGGTCATAAAGCGTGGAGATCCAGCAAGTCGATTTCAGGCTGGTGGACCAATGATGTAGGAGAGTCTTCTGTATTTCTGTTGCTTTCATTGGTTAATTAACAAAGAAACTGCTTGGCCTGATAGGTCAGAACATAGGTGGGTGGAGTAGACAGAACAGAATGCTGGGAAGAAGGCAATGAGGTAGACACCATGGAACCAGCCACCAGGTCAGACATGCTGAATCTTTCCCGGTAGGCAACCACCTCATGGTGCTACACAGATTATTAGAAATGGGTTAATCAAGATGTGAGAGTTAGCCAATAAGAGGCTACAGATAATGGGCCAGGCAATGTTTAAAAGAATACAGTTTCCGTGTAATTATTTCAGGTGTAAGCTAGCCGGGATTTGGGCGGTGGGAGCGCAGCCAGCCGCTCCTTCTACAGACCAAAAGGGAGAAACCCTAACTACAGTGTGAGTAGGTCTCATCCAATCATCTGAGAGCAGGAAGCCGGAGCAATAGCAGATGGGTAACCTCAACTGCCAGCTCCTGTGACCAGACAACACTTCCGGGGGAGGGATTGGGACACAAACCCAATCACACATCCTTCAACCTACAGTCTGTCCTGCCTTAGGGATGTGCTGGGATAAGAATGGCACAGACATTGTGGGAGTGGCCAACCAATGGACTGGTCCAGCCTGAGAACCACACCATGAGAGTGAGCCCACACCTGACACTGCCTGGAGCGCCAGGACCCAGAGACTGGATGGCCCAGAGACCTAGGACAGAAACAAACACAACTGGAAAAAATGTCAATGGAATGATGCCTAATGATATTCTGCTACACACAAATATTAGGGTCTAATCCAATTGTCATCAGAGAGGCTTCTTCCAGCGACCAATGGAAACATATGGAGACCCACAGTCAAAGTTTAGGCTGAGCTTAGGGAATCCTGCTAAACAGGGGGAGGAAGGATTGTAGGATCCCGTGGTGTCAATGACACCACAAGAAAACCCACAGAATCAATTAACCTGGGCTCACAGGGCCTCAAAGAGACTGAACTGACAACCAGGGAGCCTGCATGGGACTGACCTAGGCCCTCTGCATATATGTTATAGTTGTATAGCCTGGTCTTCTTGTGGATCTCCTAATAGTGGGAACAGGGGCTGTCTCTGACTCTTTTACTGACTTTTGGACCCTACTCCTCATACCGGGTCACCTTGCCCGGCATTAATACAAAGCGAGGTGCCTAGCCTTTACTGCAACTTGATATGCCATGTATTGTCAATATCCATGGGAAACCTGCACTTTTCTGAATAGAAAGGGAGGAGGAGTAGAGGAGGGGCAGAGAGGAGGTGGAGGAAGGGATTGGGAGGAGACGAGGGAGGAGAAACTGCAGTTGGGATGTAAAGTAAATAAATACTTTTTTTTTTAAAAAGAGAGAGAGAGAGAGAGAGGTTTCTGGAAGAGCAAAGACTTGTCAAGACAATTCCTGTCTGGGTCCGCAGTCTGTCCTCACGTGCGCTTCTAACTCAAGAGTGCAACCTCAGATCTGCATCCTGACCCCACAGTCCCTTTCCTTGAGCCACCTCCTTAACCACCACCACCACCCACCCATCCATCCATCGCCACCCCCCACACACACCCCTCCAAAACCTACTGGTTTTGTAAGTACCTCGAGAAAGCCTTGACTAACGTGGTACATACAGTAAAGTTCATTTATTTAGTGTCTGGTCGTATACATTTTAACAAAAGCATAGATTTAGGTAGCGAGTGCTACTATCAGGAGGACACAGGGAATTTCTCTCTAACACATCTCCACCACGTGTTTTTGTTTGCTTGACCGTTTTTCCATTACAGTGACATCCCACTCTCAGCCCCCGAGCACCACTGGCCGTGTGCACTGTTCTTGTCTCTTTGCCTTTTCCAGAACGTTACACATCAGACAAAGGTGTTGTTAACTATGGCTACAAAACTACGTTCATGCACACAGAATATGTTGGTTTTGGTTGGGGAGGGGGGTCGTGCTGTGTTGTTGCTTCTGGTATTGTTGTGTAAGGTGGGAAGGGTCTCACTATGTAGCCCAGGCTGCTCTCTAACTATTGAGCTTCCTGCCTCTACCCCGAGTGCTGGGATGACCCTGGCCTGCTCCTCCGTGGCCAGCTCTCCAGTTCCATTTAGAGTCAGATCACTTTGCCATAAAAGGAGGGAAAGGTCAAAGCAACAAAAGCAGGCAGCTCTTTTAAACCAAGACCAAAGACAACTAGGGAGGCAAATGGCCTCTGGTGTGACATCTAGTTCCAAGAATGAGGACGCCTTCCCAAGAATGAGGGCGCCTTCACTCCACCTTGTAGCTGTACCTCAGAAACCACAGGGTTTGACAGCATCCATGTCCATCAAGGAAGTAAAACATATGAATGACAAATGAAAAGTCTGAGGCAGAAGGCACCTCTTAGAGTAGGGGTGGTTTGTGAAATTCTCGCCTGTTATGCTCTACGATGTTCTGCCATTATAAACTGCTGGGTGTGGCAGCACACACCTTTAATCCCAGCACTTGGGAGGAAGAATAAGGGGGCTCTCTATGAGTTCAAGGCCAGTCTGGTCTACAAAGCAAATTTCCAGGATAGCTAGGACTTGTAGAAAAATTCTATCTAAAAACAAAACAAAATAAAAACTAAACAACAACAAAAAACCTTTTCTAAATCATAGGTTCAAAGCTGCTGTTCTCAAAGGGTGAAAAACATTGGCGGTATTCTTTCTTCTGTAGAGTTTATTGTATGGTAAAGTTGTTTTAAGGAAATTGCATCAAAAATTAGCTACAACTATACTCTGGAGACAGGAAAGCAAATGTGTAGTCTAGGGTTGCATGTAGCGTTTATTGCCAGTTTTCTAAGACACGGTCATCATTCTGTATGCTAGAGACTTTCATTATTAGAAATTACATGGTGATATATTACAAAACATGGAAGATATACCATCTGCAGTTAGTCCCAGATGTTTCAACGATAGATCTGGATACCCCAATCTGTTATGAACTGCTCAATCCACTATAGGTATGTGAGTGTACATGAGTGCCACTGCTCTGGTTTTTAATATGTTCTGTATATTTTGAAAGTTAGCAATAAAAAGATGAGGGTGGGGAATAGCCAGCACACTCCAATGCTATGGAATAATCCCTTTGTACACTGTAAAGATTTGTCACTCAAATTGGTTTAATAAAAAGCTGACTGGCCAGTATCCAGGCAGAAAGTATAGGCAGGACAACAGACACAGAGGAGGCTGGGAAGAAGAAGGGCGGAGTCACAGGAGTCAGACACAGAGGAAGCAAGAGCTAAACAGGCTGTCCTGAAAGAAGGTATCACCACGTGGCAGAGGGTAGATAAGATATATGGGTTAATGTAAGTTGTAAGAACTAGTTAGTAATAAGCCTGACCTACCTGTCAATCATTTAAAATTAATATTAAGTCTCTGTGTGGTTACTTCAGAACAGCTGGCAGAACAGAAACTTCCACCTAAACTCCAACATTCATGCACATGCTCGCCAACTCCCCAGAAATCAGCGCTGGGACAGAGGACACATTAGTGAGCCTGAGTCGTGACTCACTGCCCAGTAGGGAGCTGGTGCTCTTCCTGGAGTGGGGAGCCTCCTTTTATCACTTACAGCTATTATACCAGCGTAGGCAAAATGGTAAATTTTAGGCATGGTAGCCCAACCAGGAATAAGGCATCAAAGAGTGGACCTTGGGGAAAACACCAGTGAAAGACAGGATTTCCCCAGAAGTATTCATTGCTTCTTTTTAGCATTTCTCATTTCTCATTGCTTCTTTTCAGCATGTTAATGTATTTATCTGTAGCAACAGCGCTACCACAGTACCGAGTTGCTAGCGAGGAGCTGAGGATTTAGGGAAACATCTGTGCTAAGAGAACGCCATTTATTGAAGGGCGAACGTGGTCGGTAGATTCGGGCTTGCGGCACTGTGGAAGAACCCAGGGTTTGGAAGTTTATATTTTCAGGACCGAATCAGTAAACAACTAAGCGGAACAAGGAACTTGCAGTTAGGCCAGGAGGTACAAGATGTACTTGCTAGCAAAGGTCAGCAGGGAATGAATAGACATCCCGGGGGTAAGTTTCTGGGCCTGTGAAGGAAAGCTTTTTCCACCTGTAGAGCCAGTTCAAAGAAAAGATTTTAAGAGTTGTCCTGTATCACACACGTAACACTGTTCTGCCCTTGGGCTTCCTTTTCAAAACAAAAGAAAACAATCCAGGAGTCCACAGTGGATACATATTTCTGAAGGGAGGAAACTTGGAGTCCAAGACTGAGAGATGGAGATGCTGGATGCTGATTGGGCTTTTTTGGGTGAGGGTACTTCAGGAAATAAAACATAACTCCTGTGAATGAGATAAAACTATGACACCTCATGAATAAGGAAGGGGATCTAGAAAGGAAATGCCTTCTAGTCGTGCATCTCGTGAAAGACCAGGTCTGTTCTCACCTGTGCCTCATGAGGGTGGCATGGTTTGGAGCACACCGTGATCGGGTTTTACACTAGGTGTGACAGTGCCTTCCTTGAGGTGAGAAGAAGACTGGGGAGCAGTGCACACATGACAGGAAGAAATGGATGCCTCTGTCTGGAAGAAGACACACAGGAACAGGGCTCAGTGGTGAACATATCAGGTTGGAAGAAAACTGGCCCTACCACTGCTTGGCTGTGGGTCCATGAGTGACTTTGTTCCACCTGGTGCCTCTTTCCTTCCTGCTTAAGCTAATGCAGTCTTGATGGTAATTTGATGTCAGCGGAAACGGAGACAACTTATGCAAACAGGGAGATGTTGGAAGTGCCCCAAGTCCCATTTCTGACAGCTTAGAGAACACAGGCCTCCCTGTATCAGCAACTTTCAGCCCTACCCATTGCCACTCCCAGCAGAAACAAAAGAAAGCCAGCCCCAGTTCCAGCCCCAGTTCCAGCCTGTCTCAGCCTCAGTCTCAGCCACGCGCCAGCATGCGTCCAGACAGCATCTTGGTCCTTGCCGTGCTCCTCATTACCTCTACTCTGGTAGCTGGAGAGAGAGTCAAAGGGGGTGAGTGGATATGGTGAGGTGTGTGGAGTTGGGTTGGGAGCTCCCAGATTATAGACAGGCCTGAAGCCCTCCCCTTACCTTGTGACTTCTTCCACCACTAAGAGAAAGAAGGAGTTTGCCCACCGGACAATGTACGCTGCATCAGGGGAGAGCCACCCCAGTGTCATAGAGACAGGAACTGTGAGGGTCCGGAGAAGTGCTGCTACTGGCGCTGTGGCTTCAAATGTGTGCAGCCTGTGCAGGCAACAGAGGACAGTGAGTAGCCCCCACAGCTGTGTGTGGCCCTCCCTCTTCCCCGGCCTCTGCCTACCCCATGGAAGCACGGAGGACCAGTTCTGGGAGGAGACGGGCAGAGAGACGTGACTCTGAGCTTGCAGGATCTCAGGGATCAGTGGCCTTGAACTTCTTCTTTGTACAAAGAAGGAAATGAAGGTGGATGTGTACCTGGGCTGTCCCCAGAGCAGAGTGGAAAGGATAGCCGTTTTGCTCTCCCTCCTCCCGGGACTGTCCTCATGAGTGATATTCCATCCTTTCCTCCTCTGGAAGTCACTGTCACTTAGGACCTGCCCACTGAGGGCCCACAGGCTAAAAGTGTGGAAGAAATGGGCACCCCCGGGAAACTTGGCCCCAGGGTCCTTGTGTCCAAAAGAGGGGCCCTCCTACCAATCCTGACCCAGCACAACCAGGTTCTCCGCATGTTCTCCTCCACCTTCACAGACGGAACCCTGGGGAGCGAGGTGTAAAACCTCCTAAGAAAGAACCTCAGAGAACCGCCTTGCCCTTCCACCACATAAGGACACAGCAAGAAGGACAAAGACCAGAAACCAGGCCTTTCCAGACCTGGACTCTCCTGGCTTCCTGAACCTGGACTTCCCAGCCTCCAGAACTCTGAGAAATAAATGTTGTTTAAAAGCCATTCTACGGTCATTTGTTCCAGCCGCCCAAACAGACTGACACACTTAATAGTTCACGAAGCCCTGTTGGGGAGGCTTCACCCAGCCACTGATGCAGACTCAGCCAAGCATTAGGTGGAGCGGAGAAATCCGCAGAATCGGGGGAGGAAGGACTGTAGAAACCAGAGGGTCAAGGACACCACAAGAAAACCCCCAGAACCAACTAACCAGGGCTCATAGGGGCTCACAGAGACTGAACCCACAAGCGAGGAGCCTGTATGGGAATGATCCAGGCCCTCTGCTTATGTTGTGGTTGTGAAGCTTGGTCCTCCTGTGGGACTCCTAACAGTGGTAGCAAGGGCTTTCCCTGACTCTTTTTGCCTGCTCTTGGGTCCCTTTTCCTCCTACTGGGTTGCCTTGTCCAGCCTTGATGTGAGTCTTATTGCAAGTTGGTATGTCATGTTTGCTTGATAGCCCTGGAAGACCTGTCCTTTTCTGAAGGGAAACAGAGTGAATGGGGAAGGGCAGAGTGTAGAGGGGACCGGGAGGAGAGGAGAAAGAGGAAACTGTAGTCCAGATGTAATATATGAGAGAAGAATAAATAAATCCCTGTTCAACACTGCGTGTGTGTGTGTGTGTGTGTGTGTGTGTGTGTGTGTGAAAACACTTCCTGAAATATACACAAAATTATATCTGGGGAAAAGAAACCTATAAAAATTTATTAAATGATATTTTTAAAGATCTGAACAAATAGGATGAAATTGCCCATAATATGGTATTTTTAAAACGACAGCTGGCCAAAGGGCAGAGAATAAAGTGACTGCGGAGTTGTGACGTGTTCATTCCTGTGAGACTGCCTGTATCACTCACCACTCACCACTACCACCACCGCTACCACCACCAGGAAGAGCCAGAGGACCAGGAAGACGGCTGTAAATAATGTCTTCTAAACACGACAGGGTCGCTGTCCTCATGAAGTAACAGCAAGTGTTGTACCCAGCCCAAGACCTGAACACATCCGGCCTGTCAATACTCTGGCATGGAGAAGGAAGAGGCCCCACCCTTAGCTGAGGAGCATTGCCAGCTGATGTCCACTAGGGGCAGCAGAGTCAGTTTTCCTCAGTGGTGTGGTCCACGCTGACAACATGAATATATGGACACACTAGTTGGACTCACTGGGTTATTAAAAGAGAGAGAGAAAGAGAAAAGGGCATGAACTGGAAGGGGAATGCGGAGGGAGATCTGGGGGAGTTGGAAAGAGAAAATCTAAATATATTGTGCTTGTGTATGAAAGTACCAGAGAATATATAAGAATTGCATATGTGTAATTACATATATATATATATATATATATATATATATATATAGAGAGAGAGAGAGAGAGAGAGAGAGAGAGAGACTACTATGCATATATACACCTGCTCTTCCCCATACAGTAAGTGTCCAAGAGACAAAGATGTCCAACCTGGTCAGCGTAATTTATACACAACTACAATCTAAACCCTTTGGAATTTGCAAGCCCTAATTAAGTTGCTGTCTCAGGCACTGGTCATCCACAGCTTCCTAATGTTTATGGGACACCATGTCATCGTTGCATGCTATACTTGTCATTGTGTGGGGAGCATGGCTTTACCAGAAGAGGATTGAGGTGTACCAGCTGAAATACATCACTCTGTGTGAACAACAGCAACAATGGGCGAGCCAGGCATGGGCTCCTCCACCACCCGGGAAAGCATTTGCCAGGTGATTTCCATCTTGTTGAGTAGCTAGAGCAAATGTTGTATACAGAAATGTGAAGTCGGGGAAGAGTTGAAAGACATCACAAGGAAGGGATCTGGGCCACACTAACCAGACATTCACCAGTTTGCTCAACCATAAATAGCAAAAAGGACAACTGGGAGAGGGGCAGAAATGAGCCAGAATGTCTATTCCAGGATAAAGGAAACTTTAGGGGCGGTGCAACCATACAGTGGGTGCTCCTTGCGTGGATTTGGTACCAACAACTGTACAAACTCATTTTAAACAAATATTTATTTTTAATTATATATATGTGTGTGTGTGTGTGTATGTGTGTGTATACATATATATATATATATATATATATATATATATATATATATATATGTCTTTGTGTCTGTATAAGAGTATGTGCCTGTGAGTCTGTGAGTGCAGGTACCCCGAAATCCAGAAGGTCTCAGATCCCCTAGACTTGGAGTTAAAAGAGGTTATAAGCCACCCAACATGGGTTCTGGCTATCAAATTTGGGTCCTCTGCAAGAGCAGCGTGAACCCCTAACCTCTGAGCCGTCTTTCCAACCCCACAAAGTCAGTTTTGGAGTAATAAGGAAGATAGGAAGCAAACCCAGAGGCGGTTGATTCGGTGTGACAATGACATTTGGCTGTGTGAGAAAATGTCCTTATCCCTTTCTCTCCAGGTTGATGCAGGGTCTTGCTATGGAGCCCAAGCTAATCTAGCGCTCAGGACCCTGCTAGCTGCACACCCTGGGTGCCGGGGCTGTCTGTGCACACCACCACACTCAGCCTGAAGTGTTCTTGTTTCTTAGCGATCCGTACTGAAACATCCGAAGGGAGAAGGGAGATGTGTCAAGCTTACTTAAAAATTCTTCAGAAGTAAAACAGAAAACGGTGGATATGTGCAAGAGGAAGTGTAAAATGTTACTGTTGGATCTGGAATGTGCAGAGCTTCATAAAAGGGTTACTGTTCTTTTGTATAATTTTGAAACGGTGGTAAAAAAAAATTGTTAATAGTGCCAGGCAGTGGTGATGCATGCCATTAATTCCAGCAATTGGGATTTAAAAAAAAATGATGTAAAAATGATGTATAATGAAAGACTATGGTATAAAAATTGGCAATGTAAGTTAGTAAAATCTATGGATACCAGAAATTACTTAAACATCGTGAAGCTGTAACTATCACAACAGCACTGGATCAAGAATAAACAAAGAAGCAGGGTGTAATAGCGCACGCCTTTAATCCCAGTGCTCAGGAGGCAGAGACAGGTGGATCTCTGAGTTTGAGGTCAGCCTGGACTACAGAGCCAATTCCAGGACAGCCATGGCTACACAGAGAAACCTTGCCTTGAAAACAAACAAACAAAAAAGAATTGAAAAAAATAACAAAAAAAAAAAACCAGCGACAACATATATGTAACGGTGAGCTTCACTTGCCAGTCTGCCACAGCCTAGAACCAGGGAACGCCTCACTGAGGGATGGCCTATGTGAGGTTGGTATGCAGGCATGTCCTCTGTGGGCAGTACTATTCCTTATGCAGTGAATCCCGAAGGGTGTAAGAGTGGAGAGGTAAAGCTGAACACAGGCGAGTAAGCATGTATGGGTTTGTTTCTATTTCTGACTATAAATGTGATGTGATGTATCTACATGTAACATATCTATATTGACTTCCCCACCTTGATGCCTTGACTTCCCCACAATGATGGGCTGTAACGTGGGATTGAAATAGAATCAGGTTTCTCTTCTAAGTTGCTTCTTGTCAGGATATTTTAGTACATCTACATAAATGATGCTGGAACACCCTTGACATATATGAGGACATTTTTTACAAAGTTCTGGTGGCTAATCAGTAACAGAAATTTGGATTATGGAGTCTGAAGAGGTGGCTCGGCCATTCAAAGTACTTGCTATTCTCACAGAAGACCCAAGTTCAGTTCAGTTTGTAGCCCCTACATGGTGACTCATAAGGTTCTGTATCCCCAGTTCCAGAGGATCCTGTGCCCTCTTCTGACCTCGCCAAGCATTACACTCATATGAAGCACATACATTCATGCAGGCAAAACACTCACACACATAAAAATAAATAACTCCTTTTTAAAAAGAAAGAAAGGGTAACCCAAGGATGATGAATATTATCAAAATTATATGCATGTATGGAACTCTTATAATAACATCTCTTCATTTATGTAACTGGAAATGATGAATATATGTTTAAATAAAGGAAGCAAATGTAAGTGAAAAGGCTGATTTAATTGCCCTAAAATTGAAAACTTTGGTACAAGTCCAAAAAAAAAACAAAATGAAAGATGCATTTGGAATAGAGAATCAGAATATGCATTTATCTATCAAATTTATTCAGTTCTCGAAACTAGCTCGTGAGATAAATATTATTTCTGTCTGTCTTAGAGAGGAACAGCTGAAGTTTTTCAAAATTCAAATCAACTAGAACTTGGTAATACTAGAATTCATGACTAGGTCTGTCTGACCCAGCACATATCCAACAAACCACTCTGAAACCACTCATGCGCAAGTTAACGGCATCCACCAGCTATAAACAGCTCTTAAAAATATTACAGTCATGTAGCTCAAAAGTGAAAAGAAGAAGACATCCAAAAACATTTAGCAAAACATGAAAACAAGCCATTCACAAAAAAAAGGGAAAAATAGTCCAAGAAAAGTGAAGTGGAAACACATGAGAAATGTTGGCCCTCACCAATATTCTGAGGAAGACCAGTTTAAGATGAGAAACTTCCATAGTGGAGATTTTATTTAGTTTTTTTTTTTAATATCCTGTGTTGGGTGTGTCCAGGAACTATCTGGCCATGGGCAACAGCAACAGAACTTCTCAGTCTCCTCATGTGTGCAGGGCCTTCTCTGCTTAGGACTCAGATGGAGGGGTGGGCAGGTGAGGGGTGGAGAAGGAGTCTAGTGGCTCTCACCTGGATCCAGCACCTTCACCTGAGTCAGGAGAAAAACATGGTAAATGACAACCAACCAGAATTAAAGGAGCTGGGGGTAGGAAGGCGTGGATCAGCCAAGGGCAGACTGAATGACAAACGTCTATGAAGGACTGATCGAGGCTCTGCTGTTCTTTTTGACTTCTGAAATGAACGCTGGCCAGGTTTATCTGTGGTCTGGAAAAATTCATCACGCTCTTTGACCTAATATTTCTATTTAAGCAAATTTTTAAAGAGTGTCTGAGATTTGACTCCAAAACTCCACACTGGGATTGTGACAATAAAAGATCAGAAATCTGCCCGACTTCCAGGAAAGAGCAGTTCACATGAGTTCTGTCTTTTAAAACAGCACACTGATAGCAGAAATCACAGTGTTTAGAGAACACTTTACAACACAGAGGAATGCCTGCAAAATAATCTTAACTGGAATAGCACGTTCTCAATGGAGGTGTACAATTTATAATTGGGGAAAACATAGCCCATAGAAACTTTCCACCAAAATAAAGCTGCCAAAGACGTGCCAGGATTCCAAAATGTCATCAGTCCCTACATGACAGGGACTCCTCCTTCCTTGAAGGCTTAGAACACAGCTTAAAGGATTCAAGTGGAGCCCAAGCCCTTCCTGCTTGACTGTCCCACACTGGGATTGAGTAAGTGAGACAATCCCTGGAATGTCACCTTCCTTTCTCAGGGTCACATGAAGTGTTCCCCTGTTTTCAACATCCAGGAAGTTGCCTAGGAATTAGGTGTGTGTCACTGAATGAAGCAGTATACTCCCATCTCTGGCTAACACGTTCCTCGTCTTTTGAATGGGAGCGCTTGGGGCCAGGTCCTGATCACCCCAGTCTTGATGGAGCACTGTGCTCTGGAGTTTCCATCTGGGTCCCCAGGGGATGCCAAGCCTCCGTTATTCTCTTTCACCAAGTGCAGAGTCGGCGTCACAGGTGTGAAATTGAGGGTGGGGTCTTAGTGAAAGCAGGGCGATTTGCTCAGGAGGCCAGAGAAGATGGGAGTCCCATTGACACCCACATTGGCTCCAGCTGGAGAATTAATTAGTCAAACCAGAGCCACACTCTATCCATCCTGCTTAGCCATGCCAGCCCAGGCAAAGGGCAATGCCACTAGACGCCTGTGGAAGTGACCCTCTGAAGGATGTTGGTCTCATTTCCTTCCACAGGTCCCAAGATGAGAGGCTAGGGCTGGCCTCATTTACCATGCCAACCTGAGCCAACTTCTCGAGAAGCAAGTGCCAACTCTGGCCCCTTGCTGTCTTCATTTCTTGGCACCACTCCTTGTCATCCGAGCTGATTCCTACCCCTGTTTAAGACACTGTGGGAGTTTCAAGAACCTAAGAGAGTCGGGGGGGGGGGGGCAAGAGTCTCTCTCACCCATCACCCTGCACACCATCCATGAAGCCGAACTTAGGAAATGCAAAAATAAAAAGGATTTTGCTTGGAGTCTTAGGAATTGAGGTCCTGGAGGCAGGAGGTTAGAGCGTCTGCTTTAGTATTCTGAAGAAGGCAGTGGTGATGGGGGCTTAAACTGGCAAGCCGAGCTCACTTGTTACGAAGCAGTAAAATACCCTTTGTAGGAAAATTAACACTGAATGTTGACGAAGCAAGGGGGTTATGCTGGGCCTGTCATCAAAGTTACTTAGGAAACTGAGACAGGAACATCACAAGGCTGAAGACTGACAGAGTAGCCAGTACAGTGGTGGCCTAGGAAACTCAGCAAGACCTTGTCTCAAAACTTAAAAAGTTAAAGGGGTTAGGAATGTAACTCGGCGGCAGTGGTGCAATGCTTGCTGAGCATGTGAGAAGCCCTGGGTTTAATTCCCAGTACAGGGATTGGATAGGCAGTGCAGAGTAACTGGGGTAATGGCCAAAGGAAACCAAAGGAAGAACCATCTACTTAGTAAGTATGTTCACGAAACAAGAGTTCGATGCTGTCTCCCTATGCATCTTAAGTCTCCGGGCACAATAAACTGGCCCGGTTGTACCAGATGTTCCAGATGCCTGTAAGTCAGAGGGTGGAGGTGGCCAAGGCTCACATTCCCAGGCAGAGCCGGCGATGTTGAACTGCCTTAGAGGAAAAGGTCTCCGTGTCCGGCTTTTGTTACGACCACTCCTCCACTTCCCAAAACACAGATGAGAAAACTGAGGCCTGAAGACAGGCAAGAAGACTTGCCCGATACTCCGAGGCCAAGTCAGCAGCACAGGCAGAACCAGATCCAAGTCCCCAACACAAAGAACCTCGGCCACCTACCTTCAATTCTTGCACAAGCACCCATTGCCTTGAAGACATCAGGCGGGGGGTGGGGGAGGGGCTGAGATCAAGAAAACAGAAGCCACCCTAATTGTCCTCTGGTCCTCCTCCCCTGACTCAACTGCTCTGGCATCCCTAGAGCTGTAGGTGTTAATTTGGGGGCCTCTGTGCCCTGAGTCTATTGGGTACCACAAAGGAAACATGAGAATCCAGAGCTCCCTCCTCCTGGTAGTCCTCCTGGCTTTGGAGACCCAGCTGCCTGTGGCCCTGTGTAGGAATAAGGGAGGTGAGTGCCATGAATCCCTCTGCTCTGGGGGCCAGGAGGCTTCTTCCTCTCTATGGAGAGTGGGGACTTTGGGAGAACCAGCGTGTGTGTGTGTGTGTGTGTGTGTGTGTGTGTGTGTGTCTCCGCTTGTGTCTTCACCTGCCAATGAACTCTGCCCTTTCTCGGTACTTGCTGGTGCCTGCATTCACATCTGAATGTTTCCAAGGATACATGCCTATTTCTGAGTACATACGTGTGTTTGTTCCTGCCTGTGCCAACCTCTGTTTATATATGCATGCTGAATGTGTCTGAGCTTGTGGACATGTCTCCATCCATCCATGTGTCACTGTGTCTCTCTGTAGGGGAAGACCTACCTAACATTCTGATTGCATCAACGGGGGTCTAAGCCTTCTCTGGACCTCAGGGACCTGGAGAAGGGACGTGGGAGTTAGTAAGGACTGTGGCCTCTGGGATCTGGGGGCTGATGGGAGGAATCTCTGCTTTTGCCTCTCTCTCTTCTTCCTTTCCTCTGTGTCAGACCCATTCCCACCCCCGACAAAGCTCAGGTTGGTGTGTTGACAGTGAGGGACGCACAGGTGTTCTTATACCCGTGGGCGAGCCCACTCATCCATCCCCTTCTGAAGCTGGAACACTTTGACCTGCATTCGCTTTTGCAGAGCTGGCCTTGCCTTGGTGGAAAGGTACAGAAACGGGGACAGAACCCCTCCTCCAGAACTAGGGAAGTCAGGCTGGGTAGGGAAATGAAGAGTGCAGCTTCTAGGGCACCCATTCCCTTTAGCCTTCCTGAGAGGCACAGGTCTCCGCCTGGGGCATGAGCTGGTTAGGGGAGGAGGGTGCTTGGAGATTCCTGACTGCTGGCGGAAGGTTCCAAGGCCTGACCTTGTGTCGACTGTCATCACGTAGAACTCTTGGCTGTGCCATAGTGAGCCAGTACTGTTTTTATCCCCATTTTACTGACAAAGAAACCATGGTGTAGTGATAAACCACCTGCCCCAGGCCAAAGACCAAGATGGTATGAAGAATGATGTCTAATTGTGACTCGTATGAGTCAGCAGGGCTCACTTGGCCAACTCACTCCCTACAATATGGGGTCCATGCTTTCCTCTCAGGGGCAATGGGGTCCTGAAGGCTAAATGTCAGGTATGCCCATAAGTGCAGCACATGTGGTGGTTTTGTGGAGTGACCGAGGTGTCCTAAGAGAGCATCCTGACACCACACCCAGGCTGAGAGACCTGGTTCCACCAGAGCTTGGGCCTGTTCGGCCTGGTCAGGTGCGACACGTTTACCATTCCCAGCTCATGTCAATCCATCCTTCCTGGTTCCTCTTCTATCTGCCTGGCTCTCAGTAGAATTTCAGACAGTGACAGAAGGTGACAGGACCAAGGGAAGCCTCCATTTGTCTAGGTGGAAGCCACTCCTGTCTATAGGAGCCCATGCTCCTCCTCATTCGAATGTCAGGGCGTTGGCAATTTTGCAGAGTTACATTTAGAGAGCTGTGTATCAAGGGCTAAGTGTGCTCACGCATCTGACTTCATCTGTGTAGCTGAATACATTGATTTAACCATGGGCAAGTATGGTTGCTACACAAGTATGGCATCTACACATTGGCTGCGGTGTGTGTGTGAGTCTGAGTGTGTAAGAGTGTGCGTGTGAGAGACTCAGAGAAAATGTGTCAATGAGATCAGCTGTGGTGTGTGTGTGTGTGAATATGTGTGTGTGAGAGAGAGAGACAGACAAAGAGAGAGAAAGAGAGAGAGACATAGAAAATGTGTCAATGAGATCAGCTATGGGGTGTGTTTTGTGTGTGTGTGTGTGTGTGTGTGTGAGAGAGAGAGAGAGAGAGAGAGAGAGAGAGAGAGAGAGAGAGAGAG